ACGTGCTAAACCTCCTTTATCATTGAACGCATTTTCACACATGGATGAATTCATGAAAATATGAAAGAATGTATACAAGTAAATTACAAAGTTAACAGGGTGGTCTGTAGTTCCGAGAGTTCAGACCAACGTTTATCACTTTAGGTATCATAAAGAGTCCGAGGGCTTGAAAGTTCTGAGATTTCAAGATTAATTAATGTTCATCTCTTTTCTAGGGTAAATATACACTATACAGTGCGTCCCAGAAAAAACGAAACCGAGAATTATCGATGTTTTATCATAATTTAATCACGATTATAATTAATAAATGACACATATTTGTAAAGCTTAGATCCTCTTCTTTCATTATTTTGATGCCACTCATGTGTGAATAAAATCCATTTGAAGAGAGGGAACCCAAAAGTCATTTGGTGGACGGTATCTGTATTTCAAAGAGAAAATCACATTTCTGGGAAAGTTTAGTTTTTGCCCTTTCACATGACACCTCAATCAAGAAAAATGAGCAAGGAATAACAAAGTTCTGTTTATTTAAAGTGATGCTTGCATTTCCATAATTTGATTTAAAAAGTTCCTTTTCACTGGCTGCCTGATGTAGCAACAAGCAGAATTGGCAATAGACAAACTCCGTTTCGTTGACAATCAGCCATGCATGTAGTTTTTCGTTATACTAAAACATCAATAATTCTCGGTTCCGTTTTTTCTGGTACGCACTGCTCGGCCACAGAACTGAAAATACTGGCGGCGTGTGCGCTCGAGCGTATTCCCCAGCGCGTTTGACGGTCGACGAGAATGTGGATCATATCAAGAAGTTGCTGGTAACTTCTTGATCATATCAGCTTTCTTCCTTTTTTCCGTTCATAGGTCATGGATCATGCATTATTCATAACATATTACTATCCGCAATCGATTATAGAAAATTCATCCTTTTTTCGCTATGAATTCATAATGTACCCGTTTTCATTGTAGTCCTCACAGATCAAAACTCACGAAAATGAGCTTGTTAAAGTTTTCGTCATCAAAACTTTCTTCAAATTATATGAACTGTAGTCTATGAATTTTGAGAAGAAGAAAAAATATCGACATTTTGTAACCGTCCATTAACGTTGTATCATGAGCTTGGGGTACATATACATATTTTTAGTACATTACAGCTGGCGGTTCATGGCAATGTAGTGGTGATATCCGGCGCCGGGTCACTTGTAACTGGAAGATGGGAACCGAGTGGTTTAAGCGAATTGATTTGAAAACGGTGAACGCCGAGAATGTGCGTCTGCCCTTTGAGATAAATCAGGTTTGGTCAGACCAAAGGATAACATCCATCCAGCAGAAAGAGCTTGTCATTCTACATTGCATCGAGATCGTCTTTTTGTCACAACACAATTTTTATGAGAATACAAAACATTGGGAAATCAATCAGTAAACAATTATATTTCGGGCACTCCCTTTATTTTTAGATATACACACTTTTTGTTTATACTAAGCATGTCTGTCTGTCGAATTCCGTATTCGGTTACAATTGACGATTTTTTTTTTAATGAGTTCCACAATAACTTTGATGTTAAAACTCGCGCAAATTTTAGTAACATGTGATATAAGAAACCATTGCTATTTCTTATTTTTGTATAAGTTACAACCCAAGAATGAGCTTGATAAGATATTAGAATACGATGAGGTTTTAGGCTACAATTTGAGGTTAGACTCAGATTTGTGCACAGATCACTGGGGGGGGGGGGGGGGGAGGTAAGATTTCAGGGATCTTTTGAAGGTGGCAAATTTCCCTTATGGTGAAGGGGATGCTGTTCCGAGTCTTTGATGCGGCTACTGCAAAATGTTTTGAGCTGCTGAGAGTCTAGATTTGGAATGATAAGTTTACATGTGTCGGTTGCTGAGCGAAGATTACGTGATGGTGTATATATTTGGAGGGTGTCATTAAGATATTCAGGTGCTAAATGATTGAGTATTTTGAAAGCATACAGTTTAAACAGAACACGTTGATGGAGAGGTAATCAGGAGAGCTCCTTAAGTACGGGGTGAAGTATGAGTTCTATACCCAAGGCCAAATATTAATTTAGCTGCACGATTCTGGACAGTTTCAAGTTTCCTTCTATCTCTAGCATACAAAACAGTAAGAAGTTTGACGTTTATTTGGTCCACATTTAAATAAAAAACACAATTAAAATTCTTTCTTTTTTATACAAGCGTATAAGCGTAGATTACACACAACAGTAAGTTGTTAGATGTGATCAAGTATTCTCCAGGTGTGGATCTACGGGGGTAGGGGGTTTACCCCCCCCCCCCCCCCCCGTTGGGCTACCAAGTGAAAATGTGATTTGCATAGAAAAACGCCATCATGTGTCCAGAGTCCAGACCCGCATAGTTATTAGTAGATATTAGTAGATGCCATAAAACATCACTTACGGGGGTTAAAAATAGAAGAAGAAAATATCGCTTCGGGGCTCGTGGACGATGCTCCGCATCGTTATTGGGTCAACCCCCCCCCCTCCATGATTTACAGAACAACGCATATCATCAGGCAACGTAAACAAGAAAGACGATTGGGACGTCGATACTGATGATGAGTGGGCCGATGAAGCAATCGACTGCTATGAAAACCCATCGAACCCACAGAGTCTAATCGGTGATCATAATACTCCAACTGCGCTTAAATTTGTAAGACAAGTATACTGAATTAAATATTATTGAATCCCTAATCGAATCGTTAGTTTATTCGCTGTATCAGTGGCGGATCCAGGGTGGGGGCATGGGGGCTTGGGTCCCCACACCTGGCAAAAAAAGAGAGAAAGTTTAAAAACAGATGGTAACGACAATTTTACCTTTAAAAAAATCTGTATTTTACCTGTTTTGTTTTTTGTTTTTTTTGCTCAAGGGGGGGGGGGGTGTTGAGTAACAAAAATAGTGCTTACTGATGAGTTTAAACAAATTAGTGCTCATAAATCTATTTCCAGGAATTGATTGAAATTGAAGAAAAAAAATTCCCACCACTAGGATCGTAAATAGTATAAGAATGTTTTCTAGTGATTCTACACTGAAAATGTTTGTGAAAATTGTAAATATATATCTCTTTTTATCATGATTTTTTATATGTACAAATAATTGTATATGTAAGATGACATTAGAGCCAAAGTTTGGAAAATCAATGAAATGTGTTTCCTTCTTGCAATTTTTCACATTTATTTATTTCTTTGATTTGAAGAAAGTGTGTTGTCAATATTTAATTTACTTAACCTAGATACATTGAAGTTAGAATGAAATGAAAAATATATACATTTCTATTCATCACACTAATCAAACCTTTTACCATGCCAATTAGGCCTAGTCGGTGAGATGTCATTAATACCTTTGAAAATGAACAGACAATTAATAATTGATTAAAATAAACCACAAAGAGCTACACAAACAAAAACATAAATATGTATCTGTACATTTTAATTGTAACCTCAAGCTCAATACACACTACATACATATTAAAGTACCAAGATAATTTTGTTTAGGTAACTTTCTTAAAGTTCGATAGATATGGCAAGAATATGCAAAAAAAAATTCTTCAGAAACTACTGTTCAATTCTATACGTTTGCACTGTAATACCGACATGAACGAACCTACATAGTAGACATGACCCAGGATATATTACGGGCATAACCTAGAACATAAAGAACATGGTCCGCTTGCATAAAAGAGTTCTGTTTAAACGCAACTTCAAAAACCCCGCAAACACTGGCTCCTGACTTGAGTTGTGTTCAAGTGCAACATTTTTTTTGCAAAAGGACCCAGAAGAGATTTGACTAGCGGTCAAATTATGTCATCTATGTAGCGAATAAATATGCATATATTAGACAAAATATATGAGGGAAAAAAACGTCATTTCACTTGGGCATGTGCACTTTCCAAAATGCATTTCATAACATACTTTGAAATTTGTAATTATCCGTTTGCAGAAGATTGAAGAAGGAATCTAGTAGAAATAAAATCACAATATATGTGAATGTGTGTAAGTCTATATCTCCAGTGTTTTAAGAATTGCGATTGTGCTGTATAGATACGACAACATGTTTTGTGGAAGAAAGAAAATTTATCCTGCCCGGGTCATTTGTAGTAAAGGTTCATTTTGCTTGTACACTCAAGATAAATCATTATCTGAAAAGGAAACACCATGCAGCATGCATATGCACACGAATGACACATCCTTAAAGTGACTCTGTAACAGTGATGAAGGTTGATGAAAAAACTGCATAATAATTGTTTGAAATGTTACTTATTATATTCATTCTACATTTACTGACCCGCTGTCATGCAACAAATTCTGAAAAAAAATTCTCAGACCACAAAGATATTTATGGTTTTCTTTGAAGGCGTTACTGTGGAACACCCCCTAACAACAATAAATTTTCCCAACCGATTTTCCATAAAAATAAACAATAAAACAGGCTTTTAAAAATCTTTCAACACTTTAATGTTTGGAATGGTATGGAGCACATTCATTGCTTTGTAACAATTAACATTCACTTAAAATAAATTAAATTATAATGATATAGCTGGGAGAATTAAAGAATTAAAGAATCTGTGTGCCCATGCCTTGAGCCATAATGCATGGCCGTCCAGAGGATTTGTTTATGTTGGGGACCGGGGTAAAATGCAATAAATTATTGAAAATTTATTGCATTTTCTGTTTGTTTTTTTAATTTATGGAAACTGCCCCCTACCCTAGCCCCGCTGCGTACAGTCATGGTTCAGTGACAAAGCAATGGCCTCGCTAATGTGAGGCCCCAGGATCAAAACATTGTCGATGTGCTATATAAGTGCCCTTTTGTGGGGCATTAATCCTCATTACTGTCATTTATGACTTAAGGGCGTAGGTCCCCTAGTTGATAAGCATAGTAGCATACACATGCTTTAGCAGTAACGCAAAACACACATTGTCAAATTATTATTCAATAAAATCTGAGAAAGTATAATATTATCTAGATCTATTATTTTTTAATTATTTTAAAAATAATTCCATAAATTGGGGTAAAACAAAAATATTCCATTTATATGAGCGACAGTGTAATTATATTGCCATTATTTTACGATTAGTTCAAGAGAAAGATTCCACGATGGTGCTTGGTCGCTGGAGACGCGGATCGGTCAATCGTTTTCTTGTCTTCTTGAACTTGAGAGCTGTTTCTTTGAGAGTTACGTCACGATGATCTTTCCAAGTCAACTTCTCTTTCAGATCTTTGGTCAGTGTGTCTTCATCAGGATAAGGACGGAACTAGATTTTGTTAAATGACAATTTGATATTCCGTTTCATTCAAAATTATCATCTGATCACAGTATGATCTAAAGAATCTTGTTTATTGTTTTTTCGCTATCTTACAATTGAATATTTCGTTACAAATTAATACAAATTAGTCTACGTAATTCGATTGTGTTGTTTCGGGGGGGGGTGGTTGCACATGGTGTGTATTTCACATAGGCCTAATGGGAACGTTCCATCAAAATCACTCTAATATAGATACTTCAGACTATGAAGATACATCAGACTACCCAACAGCTGGATGTGTAAGATAATGCAACGTGCAAAAACTTTCGCAACAATGTTACATGAATACGGGGATGAATATTGTCTACTCTGGAGAATTCTTATATTTTATACAGATTTAAAGTTGCTAGAATACAACTATTCCTACATAATGATGAAAATATAACCCAATTTAAACCTACCATTTGGCCGATGTTCCAGATAGTTTTGTCATTGGAATGTTTCTTGAAGAACTTCTTGTTGACCATGATGCACTCGGCTCCATTCCGGAGAACTCAGATTTTTTATATTTTTATACAGATTTATTGTTAGTAGAATACAACTATTCTTACATAATGATGAAAATATAACCCAATTTAAACCTACCATTTGGCCGATGTTCCAGATAGTTTTTTCATTCGAATGTTTTTTGAAGAACTTCTTGTTGACCATGATGCACTCGGCTCCATTACTAACCAAACTCAAGCTTGACTGAGAACCGAACGCCATGTCAAGAACTCCCTTTAAGATTACAAAAGAAATAAAGAATAGTTACACCGTGTTGTGTAGTGTTAGATTACTATTGCTGAGTTTGGCTGAATTTGCCACTGAAACAGATCGGAATGATATCTTCCACTAATGTGTAATGATGTCAAACAATTAAGTGTATTACTGACCTTAAAGATCGTGCCACGTCTATATATTACTCATCAGTTGTCATTGATATAATGCAGGACTGCCATAAACGTCATGCAATTACCATGGCAATTGATATTTCTAGACTTGGAATTACACTGACTTTTATACAAATAGAATGAAAATTAAGATAAAAAGTCAATTTTTTTGTCAAAGGTTTTGACCGGAAGGCATAAACATCATTAAAACATTATTGCTTCCGATAAAAAGATTGGGAAATAGTTTCAATACCAAGTATTGTTCTCTCCAAGCAAAGATAATTATGATCTAATGGAGTTTAGGAGTGAAACATTACTTACGAAAACTCCTCCTTTCTCTAATGTATCTATCATGAGAAATGTATGGACTGGTTCTGGAGGGGCCTCAGTCTGTCCTTCCTCCTCGTCATCATCCTCGCTTTCATACACCTCATCATCTTTTCCAGCGACAGGGGAAGCTCCTGATGGAGAAAAAAAAATCAAATGGTGAATGGCGGTCTCACAAGTGAATGTGATATTTCAGAAGCCATCTTAATTTGGTTTCAAAGGGAAATATTAAATACAGACTTTTTTTTCTTCATTTTACATTATTGATATAAGCTATAATAACATAATTTTGAGAATTTTTACGGGATTGCGTCATGAATAATCGGATCATACAATCAGAACTATGATCAATGTAAATGTTCATCGCCCCTAATAGCCTCGCCCTCAATAATAAATTACTGTGCAGTGTTATTCAATCAAACAAAATATGTGAATTTCCACAGTTACAATGATTGTTTTCGCAAGTACCGTTGTGTCAGACAGTGCATATTAACACTTTTGGCATCGAGTTTACCGATTCTAAGATGTCAGATCCCGTCGTTTAACGTCCTACCACCGATGACTTATTTTGTATTCTTTTGTCTTTCTTCTTAATGGAATAACTATTGTAGACGATGATATTATATATTTTTGTCATTAATAACCTACCTTGTTCGTACTGGGTTGCTTCTGTTAGGTCGGTCATCCCACTATCTTGAGTAACGCTTTCTCTCCCATCACCATCATTGGTCTCCATCAGAGCCTGATTATCCCTTCTTATCATACTCCCTCTCCTCTGGATCACACTATCCCTCCGTGCTAGACTATTCCTTCGCGTGAGTCCATCCGCCAGCGCGCCATCTGTACGTGTCGACCCAATCTTCTTTGGAACATCTCCTTCAGATTGCGCTATACTATCTCTCCGCCCACCATTGTTATTGCGCGTACTCGTCGTACCGGAGTCGTTTGTCTTATTCGGTTCACAAACTGGTCGTATTCCAGCAGAGCGATGTGTCATAAAGGGTCCCTGTTAAGAGAAAGGTAAACTGTAACATGAATTTTGAAAAGTTTTCATCTTGATAAGATAGTGGAGGGTGAACAGCCAGTTACGGTGGCTTTAGTAAAAATGGAATCGCATAAAAGAACGATGATTATTGCAGTGATAAAGTTGTGATATCATATTTACATCATTTTCGTGCTACAAAATACAATCACAACGAATATATTTTCCAATGTGCAACTTGTAACCGTTTCCTCATTCTGAGTAGAGGCATCACAAAACGTATTTCAACAGCTTACAACTGAACTATCCCATCTCGACTGGTATAGATCAAAGCGAATACCGTGACTTTGAAACGATGACATGTTATGAAATTCAATGACGTCATGCACTGACCTTTGCAAAAGATTGCTTCCGCCCTCCCATGACATGATTGTGGTGAGACGTGCCCGAGGTATCCATAGGTTCTTCCCCCGTCTCATCACGTTGATCACCTTCATTATCAGCCCCTTCTTCCGTCGTGGAAACACCCGAGGTGTTCGCTTCGGTGAGATCAGGATTCCGAGACATGTCAGTAGGTTTTAACCTCGATGCCTGTGTGAAATACAGCAGATTTATTCAATTAGTTAACTTCCAAAGATTTTTTTTTGGGGGGGGGGGGATGCACTGCCAATATTCATGATTCATGAAAGTCTCAATTTTCTCTTTTCATAAAATAATTTTTCTTAGTCATCAAGAAAAGACCTCCAACAGGCATACATCATATTAACTTCTTAAATTTGTTGGGTAATGTTCATTATGTTATCATTGCGGGCAAGTACATCTGACTCAAGTGATGCAATCGAATTATTCGCCGCTTGAACATATCATTATAATTGGCTCAAAGGCCAGGCAGTCAAAGTAAGTGGAGTGAAGAAAAAGCGTAACAAAACGATCTTGAATTTGAATTAGTATCAGATATAATCATAACTAAGTGATTTCTGTATAGAAGTGGGAAGTCGTAAAGTCTTATGATCGCATATAGGAGACTTTAACCTTCCAGCTCTCCTCATATCTCTGATGCATATCAGCGGCTATGGGATCCGTCTTTCCCCGGTAGTCTTCCGACATGTGTGGCTCTTCGAAGGGGTCATCGTGAAGGGGTATCTTGAGCAGGTTGGTGGGTTTCTTGATGTACCGTTTCCATCTGCTGTTCTTGATGGACTTGGACCGTCTCTTCTGGAGCTCCTTCAGCTTGCGGGTTAGCATCTCCTGGTGGGTTTCGGCTGGTTGGATGAAGTCACGCTTGTACCGGGTTGCTGGAATGTGGACGATGATGATTGGTTAAAAAAGAAGATTTAATGAATGATTTGAAAATCGATTAGTTCATCATCGTATTAATGTGGTTGATAATGAAAATAAGTACGAAGGAGGAATTTCGACATACTGAAGAACATAATTATGTGGGCGGAGATATATATGCATGGGATATAGTATAAAATGAATTAATCGAAATTATAAAAAAACAAGAACTTTGATAGACAAATATTTAGAAAGAAGGAAAAAAAAAAAATTCGATAAAACAAGTCATACATGATGGTTCGAGTTTCTCATCTCCAAATCGGGAGGTTTTCCTGTTTCCTGTTAAATCCCTGGATAAGGACATTAAGATTATCAAGATGGTCACCGCAGTAAACTTACTTGGCACTACGCTTTTCTTTCTCTTGCTGACCGGAGCTATTGCAGGTTTGCCATACTGTGTGGGGTCAACCAACTTTTTCAGTACTGAGCAGCTTCCCTAGATGCAAAAATGATAATAATAATAGTGATGAAAAAGGGAAATAATGAGATAAACAAAGCCGAAAGAAATAATGAGAAAGGAAAGAGGAAATATTTCTTAGTTTGTAATGACTTATATCAACAGGGTCATTATAAATAGATTATACGTTTATGGATATGATAGAAGATACAGCTTGCTACGGGGTATAGGTATTGACAATGAATTATTTTAACCGTATTAGAATAATCAGGAAATCATCGAATGTAATGATGATTTATAATAAATGGAATTGATAATCAATTATAATCAGTTCATACACAAATGATGATGATGATGATGATGGCTTTGAAGTTTGAATATGATCCTCTGATTGATGGGTAGCCAGTAAATATTCCATGGGGAAGACGAGCTTTATTGGTCATTATAAGAAGAAACAATCCGCTATATGTCAATCTGGTAAGAGAAAATCAGGTATACGGAGGAATATGTGCTATTGGTAAAGAAACAGAAAGACAGAAGAAAAAAGTTTAAAGGAAAACGCCTTTCTTACCGATTTTACGATGATAATCCATTCTGATTTAGTGCTATCTTCAACTATTGTGGTACCATGTCTGTAAATATAAAAATGCATTTAATATGGTGAATGTAACACGTCCCTATTATTGTAGTTAAAACCATTTACTTCGAATTGATATAATTGTTTAATTAACACTCGTAACGATGCTACATCAATGAAATGGAGAAACTTGGAAATCACTATAATCAAGAAAATAAAAAGAAAGGTCTTGCGTCTCAGAAACAATGAATTAGATATCACCAACTTCGAAGAATACATGCACTTGTCAAGTGCTCATCCTTGCCTTAATTCGTACATAAACAAAGCATGTGATACTTACACAAAGTATTGGAATCTTGTTTGAGTGTGGTTATCCTTTAAGAGATGAATAGGCCAGTGTTTAAAGATACAGATTGATCTGTAATAGGAAAACAAAATATTTAATGGTAATTAAGAAATTAAAAAATGGAAAATAAAGAGAGTCACAACATAATTGTTATTTCTGACAGTAACAGACGCACTGTACACATTTTTCGTCTCAAAACAGTTTTTTTAAGAGAGGTTAAATAAAATATGTATATTGGAAATGATAAATTGCAAATATTGAAATTAAACCATAATAATTCTATGAAAATTGAAGTTTGCTGCCTAATTTCTCAATCACACTGCAAAAATTACTTCACATCGATTAAAAACCGACCGGACCTTGGTCATTCGAAGTAATCAGTTGTTGTTGTTGTTGTTCGGCATATTGTCGGTCTCAATGGTGTGGCCTATAGGTCTTACCTGACAAAACTCTTTTCACCGAGATCGCTAAAGTTGCCCAGACCACCGGCAAGAAATATTCGACTGTAGTCCTGAAAAAAATAATCAAGAGATCGTTGATATCTTGGTAAATACATTCGGCAGGGTGCATTACCTTAATACATGACATAACCTTTGTTTTGATATGCTTCTGTAGCTCATTAGAAAAATAATGTTTAAAAAAATCGGGGAAATGTTTACTTTCTGCTAGAACAACATTTTGGGGGAACATTGGAAACATGTCATTATTGATATGTCGATCGTATTTAGAAATACAACTTCATTCTAAATGCATACTGATATGTAATTACTTATTTGATAGTATTTTCACAAATTTACTACTTACATCTGGTGCTAGACACATGAGTTGTATGGCTTCCTTGGAAATGACCGTGTAGACATGTTTGTTTTGGTGGGCAATCGCTTGTTCCTGTATAAAACACAAGATAATAATCGAACTATTAATCTAATGAATATTGTAATGTTTGTGAGTTTTTCAACACTCATCTCGAAGCATTTTCTTGATCAAAGCAGTTCGGTCTGTTGTCGGTCTGTGGTCGGTCTGTGGTCGGTCTGTGGTCGGTCTGTGGTCGGTCTGTGGTCGGTCTGTGGTCGGTCCGTGTTCGGTCCGTGGCCGGTCCGTGGTCGGTCTGGTGTCGGTCTGATGTCGGTCTGTTGTCGGTCTGTTGTTGGTCTGTTGTCGGTCTGTGGTCGGTCTGTTGTTGGTCTGTTGTCGGTCTGTGGTCGGTCTATTATCGGTCTGTTGTTGGTCTGTTGTTGGTCTGTTGTCGGTCTGTTGTTGGTATGTTGTCGGTCTGTTGTTGGTCTGTTGTCGGTCTGTTGTCGGTCTGGTGTCGGTCTGTTGTTGGTCTGTTGTCGGTCTGTTGTCGGTCTGTTGTCGGTCTGTTGTCGGTCTGTTGTTGGTCTGTTGTTGGTCTGTTGTCGGTCTGTTGTCGGTCTGTCTTTGGTCTGTTGTCGGTCTGTGGTCGGTCTATTGTCAGTCTGTTGTCGGTCTGTTGTTGGTCTGTTGTCGGTCTGTTGTCGGTCTGTTGTTGGTCTGTTGTCGGTCTGTTGTCGGTCTGTTGTCGGTCTGTTGTCGGTCTGTGGTCGGTCTATTGTCGGTCTGTGGTCGGTCTATTGTCGGTCTGTGGTTGGTCTGTTATCGGTCTGTGGTCGGTCTGCGGTCGGTCTGAGGTCAGTCTGCGGTCGGTCTGCGGTCGGTCTGCCGTCGGTCTGCGGTCGGTCTGCCGTCGGTCTGTGGTTGGTCTGTAGTCGGTCTATTGTCGGTCTGTGGTCGGTCTATTGTCGGTCTGTGGTCGGTCTTAAGTCGTTCTCTGACTGAAATTTAAGAGTAATTCAGTCCCTACAATCAGACAATTGGATAATTTAACTCGTTATACTTTCTTCACAAGGGCGATATATTTAAATGTCAATGACGTTGGTCAATAATTCGAAGGCTTTCTTACCCCGAACATATCCCCTTTGTTGAGTGATGAAACATGTCTACCTGGAATATTGGGATCACCTTCTAAATGCAAAGCTGGAGGAAATGAAAAATAGAAACAACATTAGTGAAAACTTTATTTTTTAACTTTTTCCTCATCCATGATATTTTCAGAATATGAAACGAAAAAAACCACTTGGCCAGATAAACAATAAGATTGAGAATACTTCATACTTTCCAAACTACCAAGTCTCAAGATTAAGTTTATAAATAATTCAAGCGATGATGTCTAGCGATAAAAGAAGAGGATTTTGCACAGTTTCATATTTTCCTGGGCGGTCCATTCGCTGAAATAGGCTAAGTGGTCCAAGAGGACACCCCTATGTTTGCACTCACCTGATCCACCTAGTATGACATAGAATGCCTGAGGACTCCTGCCATATCTGATGATGACCCTACCCGTTGGGTATTCCTCGTACCAGGAGTTTGTCACCAGACCTCTCTGCATGTCCACTGGGTACTTGGTGATACCCTTCATCTGCTGTAGCTCGACCATTACCTACAACGAATTAATTTTAACGAGAAGGTTGAGTTTTGATAAAGTTAGTTTAAATATTTTGCGAGATTTCTCATTCTATTTTATGATAGTTTGGAAGAAAACCTTCACTGAACTGCCAATGAAAATCAGTGCTCTTTAAGTTCCCAAATATAAGAAATAGCTAACGTGTTTGGACCAGACAGTATGTAACATGTACTTGTGTATGTTTATTCCCATATTCCGATCTCTGTGAGGCATGCGAGCTGTACATGCATGGTGGGCTTTTCATCAAGATTAAGTCAATTCCTTACCAATTTGATGATTCCGAAACCTCACAGTATATAGACCCATTCCTGTGAACTACATAATTCACTCTTTCGAATTGCTTCCAGACAGTTTCTTTCACAATCCTATTGCCATAATGGCACGTAGTTCTTGACTTGCATTAAGAAATGTTCGTAGAGAATTCTTAGCTTTTTTGATTTGAAAAATTAAAAAATACAAACAGCTGTTAATTAACCTGATTAATGAGTAGTCAAATGTCAACATGCAAACTGCAGGAGGTGAGAGATCGGCGAATGAAATATTCGCTTATAATTATTACGTCAAGATGGTAACTTACGTGATGGATATCCTTTTTAGATCTCTTCTTGTGATCCATGAGCAGGATTCGTTTCGTGTCTTTTGAGATCTTTTGCTGAAAGGACAAAAATATTTTAAAAAATCTAGCTACAAAATAGGCATAACTGCTGCCATTGTCTTCTGTAACATTTTGATACATCACTTCATCTCATTGATTAATGATGTTATTTTCATCGTCATCTTTATTATCACCATCATCATTGTCATCCAAAAACTTATCATCATCATCGTTATCATCATCATCATCATCATCCTCACATTTTAATTATCATCATCATAAGAATCATTATCATCAGTATATTCAACTTCAACATCACCACCATCATCACTAAAACCATCATTTGCGTCACCACCACCATAATAATCGACGCCGCCGTCATTACCACAGCGTCGGCGTCAACATCGTTATGATCATCATTGAATATATCACCCTGCCACGCCATCGTCAATATGATAGAAATTCACTACGCCAGCAGTGCTCATGCTATAAAAGGATGAACTAAAGGGATGTTATTTACCGATTTCAGGGCTTTGTACTCCGTGACGTCATAGAGTAGATCTCCTCTTATTTTGTAATGATCTCCGGCCCGGGCAGCATCGATATCACTGAACAACGACACCATCCGGGCATCGCTTTCCCTATAAATATTCGAATTTAAGCAATACGAAATGTAATATTTTGTCGACGAAGAGTTATATTGAGACCTTAAGAATGTACAGCGCTGTCATCATGATAGAACATGTTTATGCCAATCTTTTGTAACTAATCACTTGATTGATTACAACAAATCTGCACACAAATATGGTCGTGTTTTATAGGAGAAGGAGCAAGGCAAATTCTAGCCTTTTTCTAATGGGGGAGAGTGTGTATCGAGCCGACCTTTCCGACAACTTGGCAAAATGAATCACAAAGCAACAATAACCAACGTAGTTCAACAGTGAAGTCTATTTCAAATTTGCCAACTAGGAAATGAAATGGCTGTACTTACTTGTAGATATATGTCCTGCTCAGCCTTAAGAGATAGATAACCAGTTTCACCACCGCCCGAAATCGTCCTAACGTCTTGGGGTCCTGTATAAGACATGGTAAAACAGTATAAGGTGTTCAGTTTTCTATTCACGTGTATAGCATGTTTTGGTTGTTTTTTGTAGATGTTTTACTAATTCATGGTTTGTCTAAATTTCATTTCAAAATTGGTAAGCTTGTTTCAGTCAAGTTTGTAAATGATAATCACATGGATAATTCCTTCAATGTAATGCGTCATATGAAATAGGAGTGGACCAGGTGGACTCGATCTTGATGCAGATATATCGGCTTCTTGAGGTGTGATTTTAAAGGAATAGTCTGACAAATCTTACCTGCTTCTCCTTCTGATCATCTTTGTTTCTGTTCGAAGCACCGCTACCTTTCCTGATCGGAAGACGGCCAGCAAATCCAGCCCTACGTCCCTTCGTCAAAACCTTCTTCTTCCGAACAAAACTCTGCCATTTGCCCATCGTAGCAAGGGCTTTCTTCTTCAAGTCTCCGTCGCCGTCGCCTTGGTCATCGCTGTCGTTGCCAGCGTCGTTGTCTTCTTCATTATGGCTGTCGTTGGTTACGTTAATAGTAAAGCCCTTTGTTGCTCGATTATTTCCTTTCTGCTTAGTTCGTCGTTTGGATGCTTCCACTGTTTTAGCATGCTTAACGGTGAATAATAGTTTGTTGTTATAGTTCGTTATCATTTGATAGCACACAAAATATATGTAACAACAAGAGACGGGTACTTAAAGTATGGACATGTTTCTCATTAAATTCTACTGGGCTACGATGCCACATCGAATAGCTTTTGTTTGTATGTTATTAAGGGCAGGGAATCCATGTATCTCCTAATAAAGTACTTGCCAACTGTTAGAAGGGTGAAGAGGGGTAAAGAAAGCTCCTCTGTGACAGAATTTTAATGTTTCAACCGGTACAGGCTCCATTCCCCCTCTTTTCTTCTCCATTTAAAATTTGCACTTTTAGCGCACCGTCCATTTCTATCTCTCTTGCTCCTGTCCCAACTGAATCAAAACACCTTCAATTTGTATCCTCACTCTAAATACGTATCCACCCCCTATATCCGATCCAATGCCCCAGTACGTCATTGTCAAAACTGAAACTTGATGTTCCTGTCTCAATGTAAGTTCGTAATGCGGATTTTTCCGATATCTAAGCTTAATATAAATTGAAAAGTTAAAGATAAAGTAAAAGTGTAATAAGAAATGTGAAATCAAATGCATTAGTTTGTAATCATTTCAGGTGAGTAAGAGATATGCTGACATTGTTTAAAGTATATGACCCGGTATAAGATCAAACCGTGAAGTGTGTAAGAATCCTTTAAGAGAAGGGAGAGTTCTGCATGGGAAGAGGTGACAAATAATGTGTGAGCGTTATTATTGTATTATGCATGTGTGGAAGAAAATGAGATAAAAAATGTTCCATGAAAATCATGGCTCTTCAAATGCTATAGATATAGCATGTAACATCATAAAAATCCACATTTCCAAAAGGTTTCTTTCACAATGCAATCGCGTGACCAGAACTCAACTTTATCTTCAAGTGCGAATACGGAGCCGTCATTTTGGGATCATAATTTGCTTAACATAATAGAGCTACAGCATACATAGTGTTTTGTTTCTTCATAGTGTACATGCATATATTTAGCAGCTATTATAAGCACCTTATTATTAGAGCTCTGTAAATAGAAAATGAAAGACGGAGGCTCAGATTGTGATGTATTTCAACGAATAGGTATAATGAAATTAACCACAATACCATTTTACTGTCAGAAAGAAAAATGCAAGAAATTGAGAGAGAGAACGCTTCGTAAGAAAGTGATTCTGCCTTGAAATTAGTACAATGTCAGAAGTAGAAAAGTCACTAAAGAAAGAATAGGAAAAGAGGAGGAGAGAAATAGAGAGAGTCTCAGAGAGACACACACACAGGCAGACAGAGATAGAGAGGGAGACAGACATGAAGAAAGAAAGAACTAAAGAGGTGGATGAATAAAGTCGCGTATGGTATTTTGGCATGTTGAGTAGGTGGTGCATGCAAAATTATCTCTATATAGTGAAGATGCAGGAATCTTAATGAAATGAACTTATTCGATGTACGTGCAAAAACTTCTTTTTGTGGTCATTTTAAGATTCACAATGAATACAATTTTTTGTTAAAGGTATAGCTCCTATAACTTTATATCGCAACGATAAAGGAATGTTATGCCAATCTCGTTCTGAAGCATACATTTTCTTGTCTTACCCTTTTACTCTTCAGCTTATCTATAATTTAGCTCTTATTAATTGAGAGGAGTGTACATGACTTTAAATGATTCGTGAAAGTGTTCTTCAAGATGTGACGAGATGTGGCAGTGGTGGTAGGTGACTTCATGAACATATAAAACGTATTTTACCTTGAGGTTCGTCTTTCGCTGTTGTTTATTAACATTCTCTGAAATCGTCTGCGTAAAATAAAAGTTCGATTTCATTTGAAAATGACGCAGGCTGTTGAGATGACAATTATCATCAGTATTCTTCCCTTTTTGCTTATATATAGGCCTAGTCTTTGAAAGCCCAATATTCTTAATAAAAACTCTTCTATTTTGGAGTTTGGGGCTTTAAAATTCGAAGAGACGATTTTCAAACAAAAAAAATCATGAAAATAGATTCGACACTGGCAATGTCGTTAATACTTAAACGTTTGTATTACAGGGTTGCCAGCGAATGTATTTTGGAATGCAAATATTAACACTTTACCTCATTAAGATGTGTTTCGACATCGTTCTTTCTCTTCACCGGTCTCTTACTCATCTCCATCATGGCGATCACGCCTCTCAGCTTCTGCCTTCTCTTCGTCTCGAAGTCATCGACCACCGCGTCCGGCATCGATTTGGAGGCCTGTCGGAACTTGGAAACGCCACCCAGGCTTAACCTTACGTGACGAATTCCTCCCTGCGGTGGTCCGGTTCGAATCAGAGCAGGGAGATCCATTGAAGGTTTCAATCTCGTCGTCGTTGTCTCCGTCATTGACTTGATCGTCGGGTCCTTTCTTTGTTTTGTTCCGCGATGTCTTCCACGACCGCGGGGTAATTCCGCGGCCATCATGGTATGTAGCTGATATTTTCTTTGTTGAAGGGCGAGAGAAATATATAGTAGAACTTACGTGGATTACAGGCCAAATGAAGAAAGTCGTTTTGAATTGTAACGTTCTTGTGACGTTCTTGAGGCCAAAGAAAGTTCAGTCTTAAGTTACAGAAAATATTCATCAATCATGATCCGTGTTCATAATCCTCTTATTTCAGATATCTACACACTGAAAAAAGAAAGAAACATGTACCCATTGAGCATAAGACTTATCGAAAATTCCTCGAAACAAAGTCAAATACAGAGTAGAATACACGGTAAATATAAAGACGTACAACTTCTTTCTCGTAATTTTACCATTAAGATAGAATGGAGGGATATGGCAGGTGGACGATACAAAAAAAAAGATAGAGGAGAGTAAGAGAAGATGTGTAAGAAGAGGAGACATCGTGTATATAAATGAAATTATTATACAAAAATGAGTTTTATTATAATGCAAACAGCTCAATAATCACTCAAATAATAACATGAATGTTAACGCGGTGTTCAATAACGCCAACACTTACATGTATGCCCCTCACACATTAGCCTACGTATTTCTTGACGCAATAATCCATTAAATATCATTCTCATAATTTCCAAACTTAGATGATAAAACAATTCTCATGAATACACCTATCTTTGCTGAATATTTTCCTTATTCAGTTGCATCAGTCATAGAATACACATACATTAATTTACCCTACACAATCATACGAATGACGTTCTGAACATGTTTCAAGCTCGAATCATTTAAAAATCCTACCTTGTTTGTCAGTACTCTCCCCTATAGCTTCATTCGTCAAACTATCAAACTAATGGTAGTTACGGTACATCCATTCTTTAAAGGGTGGTACCAGATGTCAAAATATTGTCCAATGTTTTTACAAAACAAGACACTATAACTCTGACCTGCACTATTCCAGACCTGATAAAAACGTCATGTGATATTCAGCTTCAAACAACAAGTTTTGTATTGGTTACATTATCATGTTGTCTATCTTACTGTAACCGTATCAAAAGATCCTTTTAGACAGAGAATTAGAGGAGAACATGGCAGTGTTCTATTGTTATCTTACTATCATGTCGACAGACTCCAAAACAATCAATAATCGCTTTATGTGTTTACACAATGCCTGGTCGATTTCCACCCCAGTTTTTGTGTGGCTGCGAAAAGTCAATGAAAGGGTTGGCCCGTGCCTTTGTTGGCGCTGTTTTACTTGTTTCCCATTTATTCTGAACAAGAAAAACATGTTACTTCACAACGCAGACAACTCTCTTGAATAATTCACGTTAAGTATCGTGCGTGCTAGGTTCTCACAAGATAATATGCCCTTTTTAAGCGCTTTTTAGCACTATTTCCAAATATTCTGAACAACATGAACACACATTTAATTCACCTCAAACATGTTATAATTATGCGAAAGACCATTCTCTAAATTCATTTTAAGCATGTGAAGAGCAAATGGCTCATAAGTTCATAACAGGATCATTTTCAAAACAATTTCTAATTTGTTTTAGTTGACTTGAGACATTGTTAGAGAATAGAGATAGACATGATAGGGTGATGATGACAGTGAAATATATACGATTCCAATACATATTCTTATTGTTATCTTTTTGGTGAGAAAGTGTCTTCCAAGTCCCTGGTCTAACTCTCGGGTTGCATTTTGTGGGGAAAGACATCAATCGATATGCCGTTCTCCTTGAAGGGCATACAGATATGCGACTATTTGTGATTTTTTTTTTTTTTTAATATTTTAAATTAAACAAAAGATTGAAATGTAAAAATTTAAAAAAAAACACTAGGAAAGATAGAGACAGCATCAAACTTATTCAGATTGTATTGAAATACAAGTGAATTTTTGTTAAAAATATAAATTATACATTAAACATCTATAAAAGGTCCTATTCCGAGGTAATTTTTTTTTTAAACTTTACATACAATTTTGAAGATACAAAATGGTTTATACAAAAACTCGAATGCACAACAGGAGGCCGGTGAGTCAAGAGCTATAGCATTTTTTATTATACTATATAGCAACGATATTGTTCTAGTGGCAAGTGATTTCCTTTGCGTTTTTCGTTTAGTGTTTTCGTCTGCCAGTATTCTAGACTGCAATTTCCATGATTCTCAAACCTGACTCGTAAGTGTATCAAGGCAAAAGTCAAGGGCTTCCGACTTTATAATATTAAACGGAGCTCCTTGGGCTATTTCACAGATTTTACTCAATGTAATAAATCCCCTTTCATGAACAACACGTTAAAAAAAAATGAAATTCTAGATTGATGCGTTTTGGCAGGATATTGCCGGATATTTCTTAAACGGTGGAGATTTAAAGACGCTGACCGCAACTAGTTATTATTCGATTAACCTTCCCTTACCACCTTTGACAGGTGATGGTGCCAGAAAGCGATTAAAATATTGCCAGTCTGTCATCAAAAATAAAGCAACCGCACCATATATTATTGTCCAATATTATACTGTTGCTATAAAAAGAAGGGGGAAAGAAGAAAGAATGGAATTAGCAGCATATTCTCAGCTACTACTGTACTAGTGGAGTAGCTTGGGTCCAGTCACAAGGGGTAAGTGGTGTCGATAGATAGGGGGTGGGGGTGGGGGGGGGGGGGGTTGCCGGAATAATTAGTGGGGTGAGTTGCGTAAGAACAAGGCTTTAGAGTGGGGTAAATTTGTAAATCAGTCGTAACATCCTTTCATGTTGCTTTTCTTCTATTGCACCTCTTCACTCTCTCTCTCTCTCTCTCTCCCTCTATCTCTCACACTCTCTCTCTCCCTTTCTCTCTCCTTCTCTCTCTCTCCTCTCCTCTTTTCTTCATTTCCTTTTTTTTTTTATAAATTCGATTTTTTGGCACATGCCCCCCACCCGTAGCTACACCACTGACTGTCGTAAAATGGTTAAATCGAAGCAATATATATATTTGAAAATATTAACCTGCTTTAGCTTCTGTTGGCATGGCAAAGATTGCATGATAAGGCATTACTCATACAAGGTACACATTTACTAAACCTGGGTCGAGTGCGGCAAATGTAGATTTGATGTTTTCCAAAGGAGATAAATGTCATGACGGGGCTCGAGTCCACAACCGTTGCATATCATTTTGTATAAGCCTGCTCCAAAATGCGATCATTGTGCAATTACCCTAAAATTGGCAACTAATAGTCCCCGAAAGGGGTGTGGTTTATGGAAAATGAATAATTCATTGTTAAAAGATGATGACTATACAGTAAACATAAAACATTTGATTAGAAAATTTAAAATGGAAAACGCTTATATGAACCCGCAAATGAAATGGGACATGTGCAAAATAAAGATTAAAGAATACACAATCAGGTATTCGAAACAAAAGCATAAAGAAAAGAACGAAGCTTTTAACAAATTACAAACTGAATTTATGTCAATGAGCTGTAAGACTGATGAAAATCCGTCTAAAGAAAATAAGGAAGAACTAGAACGAACAAAAATTAAATTAGACCAATGGTTAACATATAAATGTAAAGGAGCTTTTGTCAGGTCCAGACAAAAGTGGATAGAACATGGTGAAAAATCAACGAAATATTTTTTTCAATGCGAAAAAAGAAACGGAAAAAGAAAAGAAATAAATTGTATTAAAAAGAATGGAAGGGTTGTTACAAACCAGGAAACTATTCTTAGTGAAATTGTTGAATATTATAAATGTTTGTACTCTAAAACAATCAATGGAGTTGAATCGTCTGATATTGATAATTATTTAGCTTCAACTATGCTTCCTGCATTAACGGAAGAAGAAGCAATGTCGTGTGAAGGAATACTTACCGAGGAAGAATGTCGAAATGCTATATTTTCTATGAAAAACAACAAGTCACCAGGTAGTGACGGTTTATCTGCTGAATTTTTAAAATGTTTTTGGGAGGATGTTAAATCCCTTGTAATAAATAGTATAAATGAAGGTTTTAATCAAAAACAGTTGTCCGAAACTCAAAAGTTAGCTATACTAACTTTGCTGTACAAGAAAGGGGATAAACAATGCCTAGATAATTGGAGACCTATATCATTGCTTAACACAGATTATAAGATTGTAGCAAAGGTGTAATGTAAAAGATTAAAAAATGTCATAGATAAATTGATTTCTTTTGATCAATCAGGTTATTTAAAACAGCGTTCCGCTATGCAAAATCTACGTTTAGTTAAAGATATAATTGAATACTGTGAATCAAATAATTACTCAGGTATCCTTCTTTTTCTTGATTTTAGAAAAGCTTTTGATACGGTTACCCATGAGTTCTTATTTCAACTATTATATAAGTTAAAGTTCAAAGAATCCTTTATTACATGGATCAAAGTCATTTATGCAAATGCTGTAGGGAGTGTCATAAATAATGGTTGGGTCTCGCAAAAATTTGAAATAAAAAGGGGCATTAGGCAGGGCTGTCCGCTTTCTGCTCTATTATTTATTCTAGTTGTTGAAATTATGGCATTAAAAATAAAGCAAAATAATAATATAGATGGTATCACAGTCGTAAATACTGACACTGGTATTTCAAAAGAATTTAAGATATCCCAACTGGCAGATGACACTGTTCTCTTTTTAAACAACATTCAATCTGCCAACATATCTCTCGAAGAAGTAAAACATTTCGGACACTTCGCTGGGCCGAGCTTAAATGTGATGAAAACAAATGCTGTTACTATACAACAGCAACAAGCATTTATCGAAGGTATTAAATGGAACGATGAACCTGTCAAGTATTTGGGAATGTATCTAACAAGGGATAAAAAGGAGTCTGATCGATTGAACTGGTTTGTGAAACTAGAAAAAGTAAAATCAATCTTGACTTTTTGGAAAATGAGAAACTTAACTTACTATGGTAAAGTTGTAATTCTTAAATCACTTGTAATCTCACAATTTGTGTATGTTGCTTCGGTATTACCTATCCCTCAGAAACTAGTTGTTGATTTGAATAAACTGATGTATAATTTTCTATGGAATTCAAAAAGAGAAAAAGTCAAGAGAACAGTCTTAATTAATGATATTGAAAAGGGAGGATTGGGCATGGTCGACTTAAACTCTAAATTTCAATCGCTACATTTATCATGGTTTAACAATTTCTTTGAAAATAATTATGATATACCGTGGAAGTTTATGTTTAGATACTGGATTGAAAAAATATGTCCGTTGTTAGTAATTTTGAAAACAAATTGTTCCAGTAAAGACATGTTAAAGTTATGCTTAAAACAAAAAATACCTAATTTTTATGTTAACTGTCTCGTAACTTGGAGCGAACTTAAATATATTCAATTTCCACAAGTTATGAATGTTGAAAATCAAGTATTGTGGTACAATAGTAATATTACACATGAGAGCAAACCTCTCTTTTTTAAAGAATGGTTTAGAAAAGGCATTATAACAATGAATGACATTGTAGAAAATGGACGTTTTCGGCCAAGAGAACATATTTGTAGAGTGCTTGGCTCAAATTCTTTGCTAGTTGATTTTATGTATACGAAGCTTAAAAATGCGATCCCAAAAATGTGGATCGAAAGAATTCAAGATGTTAATTACGCACATGACGATAAAACAAATTCACAATTCGAAGGCGACTTATACGAAATAAGAACACTTGATTTTATAAGACTATCTTCAATGAAATCTAGCCATTTCTATAGCCTATTGTGTGACTTTAAGAAAAGAGAACCAGCTGTATTAACATTTTGGGAAGGTAAACTGAACCTTGTCATTGATTTTGATTAGAGAGATACATTAAAATTTAAGTTTAAGACATTGAAAAACAATAAAATAAAACAACTCAACTTTAAGACATTTCATAGGATTTTACCCTTTAGATACAATCTGTGCAAATGGAAAATTGTAAATGAAAACCTTTGCATTTTTTGTAAAACAGCAGAATCTTTCGTTCATGTTCTTTTAGAGTGCCCGAGCGTAAAGCTTTTCTGGAAACGTATTGTGGAATTGATTGAATTGAACTTTAAAGAAAAAATTATATTAAACGAAGAATTATTAATTGCTGGTTTTGATTTCAAACATGCAAATGGAGCAGATATA